TTTACCCCCCACTTTGGGCATAGCTGTCTAAAGGACAGAAGTGGCCTCAAACCCCTGCCAGATGAATTGTAGGAAACGAGACTGATGGCAAGAGTAATGACAATTGGAAACGGATAGTGGTAATGGTTGCGCAACATGGGGAATGTCACTGAATTGCAGACATAGAAATGGTTGAAATGGCAAATGTTGTTATATATATTTCACCACAATAAAGATTTTTTAAAGTTTTAAATATAGGCAATGGGACAAAAAAAGAAAAAAAATGATAGCAAGCACCTGTAACTTCCCTATCTGTGTAATACTAATAGCAACAACAAACACTTTGTAGCGTTTATTATGTGCAGCCACTGTTCTTAGCACTTGGCACGTTATATGTCATATATTCCTCGTAGCAACGCCGTGAGGTAGGTAATATTATTATACCCATTTTACAGATGAGGAAACTGAGCCATAGTAACTTGCCCAAAGCTTCACAACTGGTAGGTAGATGAGCCAGGATTTGAACCCAGGAGTTCAGGGCTGTAGAGTCTGTGCTCTTACACTACCTCTCCTGAGACCTTCTCCAGTTTGATTTAAAAACAAACAAACTTTTTTGTTTTTTGAGTGTTTGAATGGATTCTCTGTGTATGATATGGGACAGTGACTGTGATGGGAGAGAAGGAGGGAATTAGGACTGTAGACCCTCCCTCGCCTCCAGAGCACCTCCTTTCCTTGCTTGATTGCCTTCCTGAAAGTGGGAACAGAGATGCACCAAAGTGCCAGTGAGTGTTCAGCAGGAAACAGAAACCACTGTAGATGATTCAGGCAGATAGGGCTTTCCGCAGGGGATTGATTACAAAGATGCTGAAAGGTCTGCAGATGCGGAAGAGGGAAGGCGTGTTACCAGGAAGCTGCTCTTGCCCCCTGGGCTGAGTATGTACTTGTCACAAAGCTGCTGGAGGTGGCACCGCTTCTGCCCAGTAGAAACCAGGATCCTGGGTGCCCACTGTGGCTGCTGGAGCCGCAGTCACATGGAGCACCCCCATGGCCTGCCACTGCCAGAGGCACCACCAAATTGGGAGTAGAAAAGGCGTCTTCTTTCCTGTTGTCTTCCAGTCCTTCACCAGCACCTCCCAGGGTCAGAACTTAACAGGAAGCCAGCTGACAAGAGGGAGTCTGGGAGTTTACAGGCTTACTGTCCCAGTGGCAGAGGGAGGGGAACAGAGGGCGGGATAGAGTGAGAGCCAGCTGACACCAGGCAGCACACCAGCGACAGGCAGGGGGCCAGCTAGGGCTCTTTCTGTTGCTCTAACATCGGTCAGCTTTGTTCTCTGGAGGTCCACTTTGGTATGACTTGCATGTCATTCTGATCATAAAGACACAGGGATCTTGGAAACTTTAGCTTTATATATGCAGGGTCACTGTGAGTCGGAATTGACTTGATGGCAATGGGTTTGGTCCTAGGTCGTCGGCTGGTTCTCACCACTTGGCTACCAGACGTCAGGGAATCAGAGTTGTGGGGCTTGAAAACCTTCCAGGGTCTCAGTTGTTCTCACTTCCCAGTTAAGAATTCAGTAGCTTTTTCATCCCAGGTGTACAGGTATCCCCCGCTTTTCAAAAGTTTGCTTTACACCACTTTGATTTTACAAAAGACCTACATTAGTACTGGTTTTCACTAACCGAAAGAAATCCAGAGAGAATTTTTGCTTTTACAAAAAAAAGGTGAAAAGTAGAAATAGTGTTCAGCATGTTTTGCAGGGAACCGTTAAAGAGGCAGCGTGCACCCCAAGCAGCGAGAGTGGCGTCTCTAAGCTCCTTCCCCGGCAACTACACTCAGCATCTCAGCTTCAAGCCACCATAGCTTTGAACTGTGTCCATGAGCACTTGTGCTTTGTCTCAACTTATTTTGTGCATCCGTTAGCAAGATGTATCCTAAGGTATCAGAAAAGCCTAAACAGATTTGGTAGGTTATTTTTGGGGCTGGGAATGCTCCAAAAAAATTCCCATATAAATTAATGGTAATTGCTTCTTTGCTTTACGTCATTTCAGCTTACGAAAGGTTTCATAGGAATGCTCTGCTTTCAGATAGCAGGGGAAACCTGTAGTGAGGTCCTTGGCACTACTTTTTGAAGTAACTCAAGTAGAATGATACGTAGCTGTAAAAATCATTGCACTATCATGTTGTGCAGTTAGAACATAGAATTGCAGTAGAGAGAGACATTGTTTACAGTAGAAAAAAAGTAAATATTTGAGTATCAGTTTAGCTTGAGAGACAAGATTTTTGTTTTTCCAAGGTAAATAGCATAACCCTAATGGAGGAAATGAAATGAATAATGAGATATAACTTCCTCCTGGCTGAAAGACTAAATAAAGACATTATTTCTTAAATTGGTATATGCATTTATCATAATAGCAGTTGGTGCTTGAATTAGGATATAACTTTGCTTTTAATTAACAATACAGGCAGTCCTCGGTTTATGAACAAGATTTATTCTAAGTCTGCCTTTTAAGTTGAATTTGTAGGCAGGTTGGAACAGGTGCGTATGGTTTTAATTTCGTGTCAGTCAATGTCTGTCTGAGTGTATAGTATGTGTTTTACCTCTCTGTGCACATAAAGGAGCCCTGGTGGTGCAGTGGTTAAGAGCTACGGCTGCTAATCAAAAGGTCAGCAATTTGAATCCATCAGCCACTCCTTGGAAGCCCTATGAGGCAGTTCTACTCTGTCCTATAGGGTCACTATGAGTCGGAATAGACTCTACAGTAATGAGTTTGGGTTTTTTTTTTTCTCTTTCGATGCATATAAAACACTTAAGAAATACTTCAAAATACAGTAAAATATCTTAAACATAATAATACAGTCCATAATAATAATAATATGGTGGTAATAGTACAGTGCATAATAATGTTGTTGCATGCCGTCAAGTGGATTCCGACTCATAGTGACCCTATAGGACAGGATAGAACTGCCCAATAGGGTTTCCAAGGAGCGGCTGATGGATTTGAACTGCCGGCCTTTTGGTTAGCAGCCTGAGCTCTTAACCACTTCACCACCAGGGCTCACGTAATAATAATAATACAATAATAAAAGTAACTACATATGGTGCTGTACTGAAGAGAGCATGAGAGAATCTGTATATGTATGTGTAAGTATACAGTACTGTAAAAAAATTAAAGAAACAGTTCTTAAAGCACTTCAGACAGGAAAAAAAAGAAAAAAGATCATGATTAAAAGTTAACACTTATGAACCACTATATTTAACTCAGGCTTTTAATACCATAGGCTACCCATAGCTTCACAAGATGGAAGTTTATTTCTCCGTCATAGACCAGTCTGGAGGCAGACAATCTAGAGGCGGCTCTGCCCTGTGGGGTGTCCAGGAGCCCAGGCTCCTCCTCTCCGGTTGCTTCACCATCCCTCTGTGTGATCCAAAGTGGCTCATTGTCAGCATTTCAGCCAGCAGAAAGGGGGAGATAAAGGAGAAGGGGGAGTATGCCAAGGGATGCACCCTGGGAGGGGTACATGTCACTTCCACTTGCACCCATTGGCTAGACCTTAGTCACAAGGCCACATCTAGCTCCAAGGGAGGCTGGGAAATAGACTTTATTCTGAGAGGCCATGTGCCCAGCTAAAAATCCAGAGTTCTGTTAAGTTGAAGGAGTCCCTGGATGGTACAGACGATTAACACTCTCTGCTGCTAACTGAAAGGTTGGTGGTTCCAGTCCACCCAGAGTTGTCTTGGAAGAAAAGCTTGGCAATCTACTTCTGAAAAATCAACCACTGAAAACCCTTCTTTTCTGACACAGTGGGGTCGCCATGAGTCCAAAATGACTCAATGGCAACTGGCTATTAAGTTGAGACGAAGGAAAAAACAGATGGGGGGAAACATACCAATTTCTGCTACAGTACCTGTCATGGATTGAATTATGTCCCCCAAAAAATATGTGTATCAATTTGGCTAGGCCATGATTGCCAATATTGTGTGGTTGTCCTCTATTTTGTAATTGTAATTTTATGTTAAAGAGGGTTAGGGTGGGATTGTAACACCCTTACCCATGTCACATCCCTGATCCTATGTAAAGGGATTTTCGCTGGGGTGTGGCCTGCACCACCTTTTATCTTACAAGAGATGAAAGGGAAGCAAGCAGGGTGGCGGGTGGGGGTTGGGAGACCTCATACCACCAAGAAAGCAGTGCCAGGAGCAGAGTGTGTCTTTTGGACCTGGGGTCCCTACGCAGAGAAGCTGCTAGTCCTGGGTAAGATTGATGAGAAGGCCGACAGAGAGAGAAAGCCTTCCCCTGGAGCTGACACCCTGAATTTGGACGGTTAGACTTCTTCACTGTGAGGAAATAAACTTCTCTTTGTTAAAGCCATCCACTTGTGGCATTTCTGTTAGAGCAGCACTAGATGACTAAGACAGTACTCCTTGGAATATTTAAAAATTTAAAAATTGAGAGTGAAACTAGTTCAAAGGAGTAAATAGGCAAGCATACCTGAGAACACATATTTTTTAAAGAAACCTTTCTTTGAAACTTTCCACTTTTTATTTTGATATAATTGTAGATTCACATGCAGTTGTAAGAAATAATACAGAGGGATCCCCTGCACCCTTCACTCAGTTTCCCTCAGTGGTAGCATCTTGCAAGACTAGCGCAATCTCACAGCTGGGATATTGATGTGGAAACAGTCGAGATACTAAATATTTTCATCACCACAAAGATCCCTGAAGTTGCCCTTCTCTAGCCCACACGTACCTCTACCCCCTCCCTAACCTTTGACAACTGCTGATCGGTTCTCCATTTGTATAATTTTGTCATTTCAAGAGTGTTATAGAAATGGAATCATGCAACACATGACCTTTTAGTACTGGCTGTTTTCACTGGAGAGTCATCCAGATTGTTGTGTATATCAATATTCATTTATTTTTATTGCTGAGAAGTATTCCATGATATGAATATACCACATAAAGGCTCTTTTTAAACACATACCTCTTCCCGACCGTGTTCTCCTCCCCTCTTCACAGCAATGCCGAGTGAGTATAACTGCGTGAAACTGAGAAGTGATTGCTCAAGACCTTCCCTGCAATGGTACACCCGAGCTCAGAATAAGATGAGAAGACCCAACTTGTTCAAAAACATTCTCAAGTAAGTCCAGCCCCTTGAACCATAAGCTCCCCCTAATTTTGGTGAACTGTGTAGAACTGGAGAAGAATTCAGTGAGACCCCTAAAGGTGGCTAATGTTGGAGAAGCATACTTGGTCAAAGAGACTAACAGGGATCATTTAAAAGCACATCTGAGAAAAAAATTGGCGTGCTGCTGGAATGCATCCGTACACCGAGCTGTATTGGGTAACAGTGCAGTGCCCAGTCAGGGAGAGGTTCAGGCAGTGCTGCCAGCCCTCAGGCCCGAGAGAGCAGCTCTTACGGCACACTGCTCTTCATGCTGTTATTTAACAGAAGAGGACTTTTTCCCTTAGCTATTTTAAGTTAATCTGAAACATGGTTCATTAAAATGTTCTCAGCTGCTGACCAAAAGGTCGACAATTGAAACCCACCAGCAATTCCATGGGGGAAAGATGTGGCAGTCTGCTCTCGTAAAGATTACAGCCTTGGAAACAGTATGGGGCAGTTCTGCTCTGTCATGTAGGGTTGCTGTAAGTCGGAATCGACTTGACAGCAGTGGGTTTGTTTTTTTAAAGACATTTGAATAACTTCAAATATTAAGTACTAAAAAGGATCACAGATGTTTCAGCCAGGTTACTCTTATATCTGGAGTGAGTCCCTGGATGGTGTAGATAGTTAATGCTCAGCTGCTAACCAGAAGGCTGGGGGTTTGAATCCACCCAGAGGCACCTCAGAAGAAAGACCTAGCAATCTACTTCTGAAAAATCAGCCACTGAAAACCCTATGGAGCAGTTCTACTCTGGCACACATGGGGTGGCCATGCATCAGAGGTGACTTGATGGCAATTGGTTGGTGGTTTGGTACCCTTATATCCTAATAAATGGTCAGATTAATAAAGGAGGAACTTTTCAGTTTTATTTGGTACCAGCTAAACCAAGTTTGAAAATTACCTTTTTTCATGTCTAAAGATAAAAATCCAACCTTGCAATCCAGTGGAAACCCTGGTGGCGTAGTGGTTAAGAGCTACGGCTGCTAACCAAAAGGTCAGCAGTTCAGATCTACCAGGTGCTCCTTGGAAACTCTATGGGGCAGTTCTACTCTCTCCTATAGGGTTGCTATGAGTCGGAGTTGGGTTTTTGATTTTTGTAATCTAGTCTCCCATCTCGCTTTACTAATTTAGGAGGTGCACGAGAAAGGCGAGAGAAGACATTTATGTTAATAAGCGTTTGTGTCACTTCTTATCTCCTGTTGGTCATGAAGATGTAGCCACACTGCAGGGGGATGGATGCCGGAGATGGCAGGGCTTGCTTTTAGCACCCTTTCTTCCTAAAAAAAGAATCTCAAGGGGATTATTACTTGCACTGAATGTACTTTTCTGGGGGTTAGGGAAGGACTAGGGAATACCTTCACAAGATTCACAATTCAGAGATATTAAAGGGAACTCTTCTCACCCCTGTAGTTTAACTTTGTTTTTTAACTTTTGATTTGGCAGCATAACTTGGGTTAAAAAAAAACCCAGAAAACCAAACCCCTTGCCTTCGAGTCGATTCCGACTCCTAGTGATCCTATAGGACAGAGTGGAACTGCCCCATAGGATTCGCAGGGCTCTAATCTTTACAGAAGCAGACTGTCACATTTTTCTCCCGCAGAGCAGCTGGTGGGTTCAAACCTCTGACCTTTCGATTAGCAGCCCAGTGCTTAACCACTGCACCACCCAAGGGTAGCTTATTAAAAATGAGATTTCTAAAATCAGGACTAGACCCAGTTCTTTTCTCCAAATCCTGTGTGCATATGTGTGTGTTAAACTACATAGTGTGAATCTACCAGGTCTTTAAAAACATTTAGGAGATCTTAAAGATGGCTAGTGGTGATTCTCTGATTTCCATCACACGGGGCGGAATTCTTCAGAGGTGGTTGTGAGTAGATTGTTTCTTTGTTTTCCATTATTTCTTTGTAAGGACTGATGGTATTTTAAAGTGATAAAAAATGGAAGCTGAGAATCTATAATAAGAATATATTACAGGTAGTCCCCACCTACCATGTATTCAAGTTACGATGAACCACACTTACGATTGTCTGGTTTTTTTTTTGTAAATCTTAGCATTAGCAGTAGGTACTACTTACAACATTGCGGCGCATAATTTCTGATGTTGTCATTGTCAGATGTTCATTCGTCGATGTTCAGTGTTATGATTTATAAAGACACTGATAATAAAAAGCAGTAATAATGAAAACTAAAAAAAAAAAAAAGAGGTATTTGACTTAACGTCAGAACCAAGTTATGACGGAGTCATTGAAATGGAACCTGGTTGTAAGTCAGGGACTACCTGTAGTTGATTTTTTTTTAATCCAGTGTTTTTACTCTACATTGTGATTCAGATTTTACAAATCACAGAAAAATTTTTATTTCTATTCACTTATAGCAAACCAAAACCAAACCCATTACTGCTGAGTCAATTCCGATTCATAGTGTCCCTATATAGGACACAGTAGAATGGCCCCAAAGGGTTTCCAAGGAGCAGCTGGTGGATTAGAACTGCTGACCTTTTGGTTAGTAGCAGTAGCACTTAGCCATTACACCACCAGGGCTCCCATTTATAACAAAGACAATCATAAACGACTATTGTGTAAAAAAAAATGGTGCCCTACTCTCACCACGAAGGTCAACCTGAGATTGTCCTTTTATGCTGTATGGCAGGCAACCTTCGATTTACATTAGTGTTTCACTTATTTCACATTATTTCTCTTGATTACCACATGACTATATCATTATACCCCACTGATTTTTTTTTCCAGATGTATATTGCTTGTGTTTGGATTGTGGATCCTTTATATCCTCAAGTTAAATTATACTACTGAAGAATGTGACATGAAAAAAATGCATTATGTGGATCCCGACCGTGTAAAGGTTAGATATTCCACTGGGATGGTTCTTTTCCATTGAATAAATCAAAACATGTCTAAGCATACACTTAAACAGTATCATCTCTAAAGTGTAACAAATAAATGTTAGCAAAAGTTTGAAAATGGAGGGTAAAAATGATCTTAGCACTTCAAAGGCAAAACCAAGGAGCCCACAACCAACAACCCACCCCCAGTATTCTTCCCATGTTTACTACAGCCGTGGTGTGGGGTTAGGAAGGTTTCATTCAGCACTCTCTAGGGCACCTGACATGGGGTAACTGTGCCAGGATGGTGCCAGAGAACTTGTCCTTAAAACAGAGGTGGCAGAAATCCTTTTAATATCACCTGTCATCTCTGTGTTTTATTTTTAGTTTTAATGATTTCACATTCTATTTGAAGGTTTTCTCTTTATATTTCTTTTTCTAAATCAATTGACAGATTAAATGCTAATTCCTCTGATTATTTGAGTGCTTAAATTGTTCACTGATGTCAGCCCGGGTTGGAAGAAGAGATGATTTCAAATAAGATAACGTGGTAATAAGGATAACTGGCATGTGTTGAGTGCTTACTGAGTGCTTTACATACGTTGTCTTGTTGAACCATCGTCATGACTGGGGGACGGTAGCATTGTCTCCATCTTATAGATGATGGCATTGGAGTGTTAGTAAGCTGTGTGTCCAAGTTCACATCTAGTTGAGTTAACAGTAGTGCTCACTATATGCCAGGATCTGTTCTAACAGTGCCTTAGCAATGCTGACTATTTACCCCTCTTAACAGCCCTGAGGATGTAGATACTATTGTTATCTCCATTTTACTGTTGAGGAAACCGAGGAGATTGGGTTATTTGCCCAAGGTCACCTTAGCTAGTATGTGGTGGAGCCAGGGCTTGAACTCAGCAGCGTGACTCCAGAGTCTCGGCTGAGCACCACTCTGCTTGAGGTACACAAGTGTTCCCACCCCTTCGACTGTTCCTGGGGACATGGGAGTGCCCACATGGAGAGGCCAGAAGTTCCAGGCAGCATGTTGCCAAGAGGAAAGAGCTTAACATTTTGAATCATGCAGCCCCAGATTCAAATCTCAGTGCCTCTTAGTAACACCAAGACCTTAGGCAAGTTACTTGTTTTGAGTCCCAGTTTTCTTATGTATGAAATGTGGATGACAGGATCTATGTCATGGGGTAGACATAAAAGTTTAATAAGATAGTATGCACAAAACTACTTTTCTAGACCTGATTTTCATTCACAAGTTTCTGCTTTAATTTGTATATCCTTTATGTGCCTCAAATCTTCTGTGGTGCAGACAGGTATAAACAAGTAAATGAAAAGAGCCAAGTCAACAAATGCACAAGCTAGGCCCTGGCAAGACTGCCTTGTCTCAGGAGTCTCGCTGGCCCCGAGCCTCCCTTTCTTCACCAGATCTGCCCTCAGAAGTTTGTGAACACATTTCATCTCTTCGGCATTGCCACATCTGTTTTTTTCTCCTGAGGGAAAGCCTAAAGTGATAACATTTCCAATGACTTTTTGATATGCTGCAAACTCTTCTTATCTTTGCTGCACGTCTCTGCCTTCTCTGTACATCTTCTTTCCCCATCCATTTGAATAAGCACACCACTGACCGTTCCCAGGAGTCCTGTGTGGCGCAAATGGTTAAGCACTCAGCTACTAACTGAAAAGTTGGCAGTTGGAATCCACCCAGACGTGCCTCCGAAGAAAGCCCTGGTGATTTACTTCTGAAAGTCACAGCCATTGAAAACCCTGTGGAGCAGTTCTACCCTGACGCATATGGGATTATTGCCGTGAGTCAGGATCTACTCGATGGCAACTGGTTTCTCTTTTTTAACCATCTCACCAACTGCACCGGATGATTGCCCTTGAGTCCAGTTTCCCAGGAGAGACGTGAGCTCTTGTCCAAGGGTCAAGCAACTTTCACAAGCACAGGGAGGAGAGGTGGTTTAGTAACACCTCAGGTGAGAGCAGAGTTTTAGCGCCAGCACCATCGATGTCGACATGTGCCGTGGGTGCCTGCAATCATTTCTTCCTACACTCCATTCATAGAACGAGTATCTAGACAGGGATGGTCAGCTTGTCCCCGTGGTGGTCACACAAGTGCTCTGTTCAGTATGACCACCCCTCTTTAAGGTTCCCCCAAGGAACCCTGCTGACTTCTGACAATGACCAGAGAAGAGACTCAACCGTGTCCCCAGGAACAGTCGAAGGGGTGGGAACACTTGTGTACCTCAAGCAGAGGAGGCCTAGTGCAGGCACAGGGCAGCGGCTATCAACAAGGCAAAGACCTGGCCTGTGGAGGGAGGACGGGCCCCGCCCAGGGGGCCCTGAGGACAGAGATGCATATCAGGGGCCTGCAGCCAGGCTGAAGGGAGAAGGCTTTAACAGTCCAGGGCATCCGGAGGTGGGATAATGGGCCCCCTTAGTAGTGAATCTCTGGAGGTCTTTGAAAGCAAAGCCAGGTTAATGATTTTGGGAGCCCTGAAGGTAGAATTCAGACATCAGACAGCGGGTGGCTTGAGCGCCTTTCTGATTGCGTCCAGCTCTGCGAATCCATGGTTCTCCGTGATTTGCCAGTACCTGGCTGGAAAATGTAGGTTGGTTTCATGACCTAGGGCTTTCCCTGTTCTGAGTGTTGGGGGCAGTCGCCTCAGCCTGGAAGGCTCGCAAAGAACGCTGCACTCTGGCACTGTTATTCCAACTCAGTGGCTTGCAGACTGAACCGCAACAGTACTGTGAAACGCCCCGAAACTTAAATTCCATCTTGTATTATAGTAATTTATGTAGGCATCTCATCATTGCACCTAACCTATGTTATTTGAGAGTAGGGACAGTGATTATAAAAATACGGTTTCTGGAATTCCAAGAACGGCCCTTGGGAATTCTTTGGTCTCATCCATTGCCCCAGTTTTGCGTCTCCTTACCTGCCTTTCTGCACCCAGGGCTGCCCCACAGTAGCTGTAGTGCTGTTTCTAAATATCAAACCTGACGTATTGCTTCTCTGCTTAAAACTCTTGGTTTCTCTCTGTTAGCATCAGGAGAAAATCCAGACTCCTTACTGTGGCTTCTAAGTCTCGTTATGACTTGATTCCCGTCAACCTGTCACACTTCCTTCTGCCACCCCCATGCTCCCAACACTGCCTGTTTCAGGCACACTAAGTCCCATATAGTTCCTCAGTTGAGCTATAGTCTCTTTTTTTTTTCCTACCATATTTATTGAAATATAATTTACACACCATAAAATTCATGCACTTGAAGTATACAATGCAATGGTTTTATGTACTTACATAGTTGTACAACCATCATCACAATCTAAGTTTAGAACATCGGCAGGCCCCGGGTTACAAAAGTCCGACTTACAGACAACTTGTACCTAAGAATGGACTGTCATAAAGCCTGTTGTATCAAAAGTTTGAGTTAAATACCAATGGTTTGTAACCTTTCATCGTGATCTTTTAGTTTCTGTCTAAACTGTTTTAAGAACTGTTTCTTTAATTTTTTTTTTAACAGTACTGTATACCTACACAAGGTGCCCTGGTGGCACAGTGATTAAAGCACTCGGTTGCTAACCAGAAGGTTGGTGGTTCAAACCCACCAGCTGCTCCTCGGGAGAAAGATGTGGTAGTCTGCTTCGGTAAAGATTTACAGCTTTGGAAACCCAATGGGGCAGTTCTACTCTGTCCTGTAGGGTCACCGTGAGTCGGAATTGACTTGACAGCAGTGAGTTTGGTTTTGGTTTTATACCTGTACACATATATACACCCATAGAGTCTCTCTTTCCCTTCAGTACAGAACTGTATGTAGTTACTTTCATTATTACTGTATTATTATTATGTATTATTTTATTATGTTTAAGTTGTTTTAGTGTATTTGAAAGTGTTTCTTGAGTGTTTTATATGCATAGAAAGGTAAAATGTATACTATATCCTAGGACAAACATTTGACTAACTTACGCTAAGTAAGAACTGTATGTGCCTGTTCTACCTTACCTACAAATTCGACTTAAAGACAGACTTAGGAACGAATCTCATTCTAACCCAGGGACTGCCTACATTTCGTCACCCCATTAGCAGTCACTCCGCATTTTCCCAGGCGTGGGCAACCACTAATTTACTTTCTCTATGCGCCTATTCTGAACATTTTATGTATGTAAATGGAATCACACATTATGTGGTCCTCTGTGGTTGGCTTCTTAGCATATTTTCAAGGCTCATTCATGTTGTAGCGTGTATTAGTATTCACTCCTTGTTATTGCCCAGCAATATTCCAGGGTCACCTTGAGGAGTGAAGTGCACCTGACTCAAGCCAGGGCATTTTCTATCACCTCATATGCATGGGAAAGCTGGAAACTGAATAAGAAAGACCAAAGAACTGACGCATTTGAATTATGGTGTTGGCAAAGAATATTGAATATACCATGGACTGCCAGAAGAAGGAAAAGTCTGTCTTGGAAGAAGAACAGCCAGAATGTTCCTTAGAAGCTACTATGATGAGACTTCATCTCACTTAGACAAGTTATCAGGAGGGACCAGTCCCTGGAGAAGGACATCATGCTTGGTAAAGTAGAGGGTCAGTGAAAAAGAGAAAGACCCTCAACAGGATGGATTGACACAGTGGCTGCAACAAAGGGCTCAAACAAAACAACAATTGTGAGGATAGTGCAAGACCAGGCAGCATTTCGTTCTGTTGTACATAGAGTCACTATGAGTTGGGATCAACTTGACAGCAACGGGTACGGGTAGTCCAGTTTATCAAACTTTTTCCTCTTGTTGCTTGTACTTTTGGTGCCATATCCAAGAAACCATTGCCTAATCCAAGGTAATAAAGATTTACACCTGTTTTCTTCTAAGACTCTTATAGTTTTAGCTCCTACATTTAGATCTTTTATCCATTTTAAGTTAGTTTTCATGTATGGTATGAGGTAGGGTTCCAGCTTCATTCTTTTGCGTGTGTATATCCATTTGTCCCAGCAACGTTTGTTGAAGAGGCTATTCTTTTT